CTTTAATCGTCGCGGGCGCTACGCAATTTTAGACCTTATGACGGCGTTTCTTCAAGTTTTTATAGAAATTATGTATTCACTCGGATCATTACGGCGATAGCGTTTTCGATGTGTCGTCTTAAGCTGTTATTTTAAGATGGTATACGAGTACAGTGAGAGCGTAGTCTTTCCACGGTAGAGACGACCCATTCAATAAGCAGCCTGAGTCTAGCATGGGTCTCCCAAATTAAAAATGCCATCTATCGAATTTTTATTTTTTTATAGAAGAGGGGGCAAACGAGCATGCACCTGATGGAAAGTATCAACTGCATCCACAAACAACTTTAATAATAGGAGAACTGCAGGTGCGTTGCCGACCTTTTAAAAATTTAATGGTGATGGGTTATCTTTCCCTGTCAGTGTCACTGATAAAATGATCAGTTTACATGCTTTTATTATTTTTAGGATCCTAATTAAAATTTCGCAAAAAATCAAGAATTTGTGCACGTTCTTTTTGACGAGCGCGTTGACAACTTGCACTCTCTGGGCGCTAATGCCTCTACTCGATAACGCTGGCGCCAGATTTTTCCCGTTTAGAATTTGGTAAGTAGCTATAAAACAAATATGTGGTCGTGTATTGGCGATGCGCGACGTTATAAAATCTACTGCACCATTTGGTGTCGTAAATGGCGACTATACGAAATCAAACAGAAGATACCGACTGCCAAGCGTGGCAACTATGGCAAATGGCCTGTTCAATAGTGGTCTTTGTGTCCCCAGTGGGCTGTAATGATGATGATGAAGATAAAGAAGATGAGGCTATGATGAAAATGTAAACCATTCACGTCATAAACTACCTTTGGTGCTATTTTTATATTGATGTTCCGTTTACCCTTAGCAGGTAGAGTAGGTACCTGAATGCTTAGGGAACATGTTCTGTTCTTCGTATCTAAGAATGACATATACTGCAACAAATAAAACTATAAACCGTGACGGTTCAATATTACAGTGGCCAAGCGATTGGCTGTGACGCTGCGGGCCGCGGGTTAGATGCCGAACGGAAAAAGTATGGCGATAAATAGTTGCTCCGGGTCCGGATGTGTGAATTTATGTTTGTCAAACGACTCCACAACACGGGAGAAATCTCAAGTGTGAAAGTAAATTTTTTATTATAATAAAAATGTAAAAAGAAACAGTATATACTTGCAAACATGTAGTAGGTAACTATACTAAACCTTTTAAAACATACCCGTACCTGTTTACTTGTTAAGGTAGATAGATATTAGAGATAAGGCGCGACAATCCTTATAGCTTTTGTGAAGTGGCAATATAAAATTACATTTAAATTATATAGTTGGTAGCACTGTTTAGTTTGTGAATTGTTTGAGTTGTTATGTTGGACACTCCGCTCTGTAATTATCGGTGATTAACTTTTATGTGAAAAAAAAATCCATGAAAGGAAAACAAAGTGGAACATGTAATGGGATGGGATGGGATATAGTAAAGATGTAAAGGGTTACAGGATACTTATATTTTACACAGAAAAAGACTGTAGAAATGAAAAGATATGTAGTTTTCTTAAAAAGTAAAGTAAATAAACCCCATAAATCAGTCGAAATAATGACTTTACAAGACCAACTACCCCAGGAAACTGAAGCCGTGGTAAATGAAGAAAATAAATCTAGTAAAGAAAGCAATGAAGATTTGATATACTTATTAATCAAGATCGGAAAGTGAATATGAACCAAGTGCGAATGATTCAAGCTGATCTAGTGATGATAGTAAACAACATTGTAGTCGTGAGAGAACTATTAGAAAAAGGAAACAAACATTATTTTATATGTGTAACTATGTGCATAATGATTCTGATCCTGTGACGTACAAGAACGCTATGAATAGAAATGATGCTTCCAAATGGAGAGAGGCCATAGATGGAATTACAAACATTAAGTGCATGTTGAGTAAACTTCCAAAATGTGCAAGTACATTGTTATTAACTGCTATAAAAAGAGTATTACGCTATGTGAAACATACAATTGACTATAAATTAATGTTTACCAGTTTAGAAGGTTTTTGTGATGCTGACTGGGGTGGTGATTTCAAAGACAGAAAGTCCACTTCTGGTTATATATTTAAATTCTCAAATTGTTTGATATTATGGAGTTCTAGAAAACAAGCCTCAGTAAGCCTATCATCAACTGTGTCAGACTATGTTGCTATGAGCATGGCTATGGGCTTTCTGGACAATACATGTATTAAGGGACTTTGGTTTCCATAATATTTGCCCAGTAAATATTACGAGTACTTGTGATAATCAGTCAGCAATCCTAACTGCAAAAACGGAGTCGATTAAACGTTCGAAGAACGTCGACATCGATTTTCATTTTAGATCTTTTGCATGTATGTAATAAATGTGTTTTGATTAAAATACAAATATCAAGAATATTTTATTCAATTTCAATAATAGCAAAGAAAATATAGAATATAGACGCTACGAGTTACGTATTTCATCGGGAAGCACCGCCCTCAGTATTACAGTCAAACCTGGATAAGCCAGAGTTCAAGGGAGCACAATCTCATTCTCGCTTATAGAGGTTTCTCACTAACCCGAGTTTCTCGCTAATGCAGGTATATGGGTAGCGTTTCTCTCTTATAGAGGCACGCAGCAATAACAAGTCACAGCAAGTACAAATGAAAAATTCATGCACTATGTAATTTTATTTTATTTCCAACTTATTTACACTTAAAAAAATTTGTCAATTTCGTTTGGGTTTCTGTTTTTGTATTTTGAATGTTTTTCTCTAACTCATAAATTTAGAGTAAGTCCGACAAACAGGACGGTAAACAGGCACACGTGTCCATTCGAAAAGAATGCGATATGCGATAAAATAACAACGTTATTTAGTTCCACGAAATGGAATAGGTACAATATTGACGAGAAAATAATATAAAAACAATGGTAGGAAGTTCCACGAAAGTTAAGAATGAGTAATAAAATAGCAGATGTTAAATTTGTAATTTGTTTTGTCATTTGTTACTGTATGTGTGTATCTTTTATGTATGTACGTATTTTTATTGTAGCTATAGTTCCTCCTATAACGATATAAATAAAGCTCGACTCTCGCTTGTAGAGGTATAGATAAGTAGCAGTTTCACTTACGGAGGTCCATGAGGGAAAAACGACAATCTCTTACAGAAGCTTCTGTGTCTCGCTAATAGAGTTTTTGGGAGCTTAAAATGTCGGGTCCTGGCTATTACTCTCACTTATAGAGTTTTCTCGCTTATCCAGTTCTCACTTACCCAGGTTTAAATGTATTTAGAAGAGTTGTCTCGGAATATAAATAGTTGAAATGTAAAATATAATATAATAGTTGAGATTAATAGTTAAATATGTATAATCTCATCTTATGCATATAAAAATAACCCTGTATATATGTATAACCTTTGGAGTAGGCGTGTCATAGAGTGGAGACCGCGTTTAGGTAAACGTAGTGTTGGACGCCCCCTGGCTAGGTTGAGCGACGATCTGCGCAAGGCGGCTGGCAGCAACTGGATGCGTGAAGACGAAGATCGGGCTAAGTGGCGCGCCTTGGGAGAGGACGTCTATGTCCAGCAGTGGACTGCCGCAGGCTGATGATGATGATGATGATATATATATGTATGTTACATATGTGGATGTTTGTATATATGAAATCGTTTAACCCAAAATCAATAGATTGATCACCATGAAAATTGGTAATATACTTATGTATTTTCAGTGGAGAAGGTTTATATTTATAAATTAAAAAAACTTAAAAAAATTAGATTTTATATGCTTTTTTAATCAAGCGCGGCAGTTAAGAAATTAAATTATATGCGCTAAAATAAAAAACGTTCCTGAACACAACACATGATATTAACTGGAAGGACAACGTCTGTATGATGTAGCAGCCAGGCTAATCAACCCTAATCGGCAATAAATAATATATACCCTGCTGCTACCATAACACAGAAGGCGAAGGTCTGAAGAAAACATTTATTTCCTAATTAAGCCCGGCTACTGAGATACTGCAGGCTGCATTCGACGTATACATTTAACGTTCTAATATAGAATTTAAGAAACAGCCGCAAATATCATCAGCGCCGCATCGTCTTCACACGCCGGCTGTCTTCATGCATCCGTCGACCATTTTCGAGCCGTTTCTTCGACGCCGCAGCTTCGCTTCTTCTTGCTCTTCCGGAGATGTGTCCCACGCCACCGCCGCTCGCCGATTACGCGCGCGCGCTTTTTTTTTGCGCCCGAAGCAAATATGGGAAACCCTCCGGAAAGCGGGGGAGGGAGGTTGGGAATGCTCATAGCATACCACGCAGCCGGCTGCGTGGTTATGTGGTGACTTTTACCCACTAAACCCAACCTTTTAGGGACTGGCTTAACGGTCTAACTAGAGATCTCTAAGCCGTATACGGACGCGACCATCCTTGGCAGAAAGGAGAACGCAAGACGCGCGCGCGCCGGTCTGCACCACTTTTATAGCCCCGTCCAACAACGTAGCTACGAGAAGCTATCCACGAGTCTCACGACGGCAAATGAAGCGTACATAATAGTTGTACATAATATTTTTGACTAATCTTTATTGGTCAGAATGTATGAATTGTAATTGGCTGGTAAATAAAAATAGTTACTATTGGTAAACTAACGACGTAGCCGGACATGTAAATATAGGCGGGGTTGACCAAAAAACCACTCCATACTCCATTCGTCTGCACATCAGAAAAAATAGTTTCATTTCTCCGCCACTAAACCACTCGGAGTCTGTTAATAGTGGACCTCATATCACCACTATTACAATATAAACAACTGTATATGGACAACGTATATATATATATATATAAGTAGTTGAACTAGCTGAAAAAGCTATAGGTTCCTAGCAGTAATTACCCGACTAATCCTTAACAAATCAAACCACAAAAGCAGTTTTTGTAGGATGCCGATTGGTCCAGAGAAATCGCCGCAGTACGAACTGGGCTACGTGTACCAGATGCTAAGCATCTACATCAGCGCGTTTCTGTTCTTCGCCGTGGACGGCGTAACGCTTGGCATGATTATGTTTGGTTGCGCACAACTGGAGATCATTATTAATAAATTACAGGAGGTATTATTTCATTCATTATAATCTTATTTTCTTATAAACATAAGTAAGAAGCGACTATGGGAAAGAGCAGAACGACTTCGGGCCTCCAAAAATTTGTGATTTCCCATATCGTATATAATAAATCTTAATACCCAGACGAATCGAAGAAGAAGGAACGGTTCTTGTGATCGTCAATTTTATTTATTTATGCTTTACAGTCGATTTGGGTAGCTATGAATATTTTTTACAGTATTTGTAATATTACATTCCGATTTATATTTATACACGTCTTTATTATTGAATAAATGGTGTTCTTTTGAGTTGATTTTTTTTCCAATACAATAAATTTATGGGAAAACAACAAAAGTACCTAGAAATTCATCTAAAAGTAAAATTCAAAGTTATCGTGACTATTGGGTAAATTTGAATCAAATTTTTTAGCATATTAAAACCTATATTAATGTAATATTTTAACTTTTGAGTAAAATTAGATGACGTATTTTTATTTAAAAAAGACTAACCCTAATCTATCAAAACGATGACGTTTAAATATGATAGACAACTTGGTCTTGCCGTAATCAAGGTGGACCAAATGGTAGAAAAAAAGATCGTGATTTTTTATAATTATTTATTACATCAAGATAAATTAGTAAAGTCGTGTGTAACGTAATAAATTTTACGTTTATTTGGCTATCGAATGAAATCAAAATCGTAATTGCAAGTAGCATTTTCTTAAACTTTTTTTTAAACAAAGTCATTCACACCATTGCACGAACAAAATGTCATTATCAATAAAAAGTTGGCCGCCTTTTTTGGATATCTGTTGTTCTTTTAAAACACTTATTATATTGGCCTTATCGATTTCGTATATGTCAGCTTTGAGTTTTTATTTCGTCTGAGTTTTAGAGGGCCAAAACCAACCTCCTAAAAAGTGTTTTTGAAGCACAGAGACTTGTAAGGGTCTAACTTTTTCTTTCCTTCCTAGGAATAAACTACCCTCTCCTCTAAAGACACAATATGTGCCCTCTTTTATTTTCGAGACTTCAATGTCTCCCTTGCCTGTACACTTCTCAGTCGTCTCGCCCTTTAAATCACCACTTGTCTCGTCTACTATATTATATTCTTCTATAATTTCTTCATCCATTAAAATAACTTCACTACCTATGTCTAAGTCAGGGCTTTCTTCATTTGTAACTTCTATTTCCTGGATCATATCTTCTGCCACGGCTTGATTTTTTTGAGGCGTATCTTAGCTATAAAAAGCGAAACTTTTAATGAAAATCGAGCAACATAATGTATGTACCTATTCAAAGTTATCCAGAACAATAATTTTTAAGATATGGTTAACTTTGAACCGTTCAATGTTACCCGAAATTACTTCGATTTTGATCGTCGTCAAAACTTCATCAGTTTTACACAATAGTTAACATCAAAATCGAGTAACGATTTGAAAAAAAATCTAAACTTCATTTTAAACAATTATAATAATAGGTACATACTTGTTTATGATAAGTTTACTTTATTTAATTACGATTTCAAATCAGAGCAACAAACACTTCCAATAACTTCACTACGGAAAAGGCGAGAAATTATGTATTTGACTGTTTATTTTATACTTTTCGTTTGCTACAAAACATTTTGGCGATCCGTTTTACGCAATTACGATATTGAAACAACAAATAAATTACATTAAATAAATAAATAAATCTTTTTCACAACTTTGTTCAAAGTTAAACCGCAATTCGAAGTTACCCAAAATAAGGTTATTGTTATTACTTTTTTATTACCAGTCAAACCCGAACGTAGTGAAATATTATGACAAAAAGGATTAAAAAACGTTAGCACAATTAAATTAAAAGTACTAATCAAAGACTAATAGAGTATTACGTGGTAGAGACATGCTGCAGTTACATTAGTAGTATAGTTGTAGCACGAATGGGTCGGCTCGACCGGGGAAGGACCACGCTCTCACAGAATACCAGCGTAAAATAATAGCTCAATGCTGCTGTGTTTCGTATGGTGAGTGTAGAGAACCGGAGACCGTTTTTACTGGAAACGAGGCATTCTATTTTAGTCCTCATGGGTGACAACGCATCTGGGTTTTGATTCGTAATCGTAATCGAGCCACCGCAACCACTTACTATCAGGTGGACTGTGTGCTCGTTTGTCACCCTATCTTATAAAAAAATATATATTATTATGAAAACATAGAATTAAAAATTAAAATCCTCCTACCAAGTGTGACAGTTATGGTAAAATTCTTCCCATAATTGAGTAAAACATAGTAACTAAATTCTTTTAGAATGAATAAGGCCCGTGCCCCGCAGTGAACTACAAGCTGATAAGAAGGGACTTATTCGTCAATTCGGTATGTTTCTCCAATTACATTTACCTACTTATCAATACAATAAAGACATCAATGTGTTCTATAAAGATATATTAAACATATAAAAAAGTAAAACAGATATTAACTAAATAAATATTAACTGAATATCTCGGTTACCACACGTGAATAATCTCTAAGAAAGTATCCATCTAATTATCGACGACTTTTTATTATAAGCAAAGGTAGCAAAAGAGTATACAGTCCACCTGGTGGTATGTGGATCCTGTCTTACGGCCCGTAGATCTCTGACGATCAAGCCGGAATGCCTCAATACACCTACAAAGGGTCCCAGGTTGTTTAGTGTTTAGTATTTAATTGAAGGACAAAATAGTTCAAAAATTCTTTATATGATTTAAAAATAATATATGTGTATATATAACCTATCTATTTGATAAATTATAATGGCAAAACTTAGAACCTACTATAATTGTTGTCTAAATGGGAAAAGATGCAAAGTAATACGGACACTGGCGCGCAGCGATAAAGGTTTATTTAGCTTGCGTGCGCAATTTATCTTATTAATAATAATTATGTAGGCTATTAAACGGCGGCAAGCAGTCAACATCAAAAGAGTGGAACTTCTGTACGTAGTACTATTATTCATTCTGTGGTATAGAGCCAAAGCGACCGTGAAAGGGAAAGTTATAAAAATCAATTACTGTCCGTTTCCGAGTCCGTTCGGCATTGCAAAAACAGAATAGTAAAGTCTTCTAAGAAATATACCAAACGCCTCTAATATGTGTGCATGCCTGGCACATGACAGTACGGACTCGTACGCACGAGCCACAGCACGCACACAATGACACTTGTTTAGTCTAAAAACTCTAAAAGATCGGACTGAGTCGGTGACGCCCACCGCCGCGCTCCGCAACCACCTTTGTTTGAGACTTCGTTGACTTTTGGTCGCCACACACGGTCAGTTCAACCGATCATTCCAACTGATCGGTTCAAATTAGGAGTGTTAATATTTTTTAAAATATCGGATTTTTGATACATCGATAATTATAAATATATCAATATCGGAGTTTTATATAATAAGCACAGAATAAATGAAAGTACTACGTAATATAAGTTTATTTATGGATATATCGAAAATCCGATATTGAAAAAAATATCAACATTCCTAGTTTGAACTGATCTGTTGTAATGATCTGTTGAACTGACCGTGTGTGTCGTCCATTTCAATAAAATCTTGCTAGCAGTCTGTTTTTAGGGTTCCGTAGTCAACTAGGAACCCTTATAGTTTCGCCATGTCTGTCTGTCCGTCTGTCCGTCCTCGCTTAATCTCTGTGACCGTTAGCACTAGAAAGCTGAAATTTGGTACCAATATGTGTATCAATCACGCCGACAAAGTGGTAAAATAAAAATTGGAAAAAAAAATGTTTTATTAGGGTATCCCCCCCTATATGTAAAGTGGGAAGTGATTTTTTTTTAATTTCAACCCTAACGTGTGATATATTGTTGGAAGGGTATTTAAAAATTAATAGGGGTTTACTGAAATCATTTTTTGATAATGTCAATAATTTCGGAAATAATCGCTCCAAAAGTAATAAACAATGTGTCCCCCTCCCCCTCTAACTTTTGAACCATAAGTTTAGAAAATATGAAAAAAATCTGAAAAGTAGAACTTTATAAGGACTTTCTAGGAAAATCATTTTGAACTTGGATGGAAACAACAGTACCCACTACGGGGAGCAGTTGCAGGAGCGCGGAGCGCTGCTGGAGCGCGAACATAATGCCTTTAAACTCATAAGTGGGAACACTTATTGTGACGGACGGGAAACTGCGGAACCCTACACTGAGCGTGGCCCGACACGCTCTTGGCCCTTTTTTTCGTTTTATTTTCCTTTTTGTGAAATAAATTAATATACGCGTTTGTTTAAGTAAATTAGCTTTTTATTAATAGGGTATATTACTATATGTATACATACATACATGCCTCATAAATACATTAATTATCATATCACATCAGATCAAATTAATTTTAAACATTAAAACTGAGTCTGAGCTGACATACCTATGCTCAGTGTTAATTTACTCGTATTTTAGTTATTTGGCATATGTTGTAATGTAAAGCTAGATTTTTTTGACGAACATTAATTCTTTGAGAGGAAACTAATGAAATGATTAACAAATATGATGCATAGGTACATAACCGTATATATTATGTTTGTAAATATTATAACAAGAGATGGGCCGAATATTCGCTTTATATTCGGTATTCGGCAGCTTTACCGAATATTCGTATTCGGCCGAATATTCGGCTAAATCACCGAACATTCGTTTTCATAGTGTCCAATGTATTGAAATGTAAGAATTGAGTAATGCGATGTCTTTTACTGTTGAAAGTATATTTTATTTATGGGTTAAATCTGCTTACTCTAGAGTGCCTCAAATGTAGTACATTTCACTTTACTTTGGTCGTCAGTTTCTCTAAAATAAGTTCAAATAGTAAATCTCCTGCCGCTCATTTTTATCGTATTATTATCAAGACGACGAGGTATCCTACTATTCTGTTTTTACTATGCCGTTAGTCCCGCTAAAACTCGAAAATTGACTCGAACGATTTTGATAAAATAAATTGTGTGCATTTGGGTCCCTGGATGGTTGGTTCACAATTGGACCCGGTAGGTAGTTTTGTTGTCGAAATCAAGAAATCCCCGTGCGAAGCCGGTGCGGATCGCTAGTGTTCATTATAAACGTTTCTTTACTTATTTTAGGTGCAAGAAATACCGCTATCTATAAAATTAAGTCACGAAGAAAGGATTAAAAGAACTCAGCATAACAATGAATTGCTCGTCGAATGCATCTCTCAACATCAGACTGTTATGAGGTAAATGTGAATTAGAATGTAATTAAGACGCGTAGTGTAGGCAAGAGATTAGAACAAAAAAATTATTCAACACAGATTATAAATAATATTTACTGAAAGTTACTACATTTACCACTGCACCGGTTCGGAAAAGATTTCTGTTTAGGGAAAACAGAATTAGAATAAAAAATAGTAGGTAATACGTAGAGGAACTTTAAAAAAATACAGTTACCTATCAAGCACGATATACAATTAGATTACAAAAATAATTTAAGATACAGCATGACTAACAGTGACACTATTCTCAGAAAGTTTTACATTATTTAGTCTTTGCTCTTGCATTTAATGCTTGCTCATCTTGTTCACCAGCCCCTACTCTCCCATAGTGAGATTTTCCTTACACGCTTGGCAGGCGCAATTAACAATCGCAATGCCATGATATTGTATAAGTAATGCATATTTTTGTTCATTTTCATACAGCTATTTTGTTGATTCTTAATTCCTTATGGCTCGGCCACACGCTCTTCTCCTCGCGCTGCCCTTCTTGCCCTGTCTGTCCACACACTGCTCTACCGCGACGCTCGCGTTTGCAACACAATGGATGTTAAAACTGTTGCAGCGTGCGAGCTATGCATATTTATTATAGCTAATTATATCAATGTCATAAAAAGAAATGTACGTTGTGGTCATCGATAGTTTTTTCTCTGTATATTATTTACTCATGTGATAATGGCTGAATGATGATGATAGGTACACTATTTATGATTTTTAAATGACACGTGACATGCTTCCTTAACGAGCGCTCGATTCAGGCCACAGAGTACGTTTGTATAAAATTCGTACTGCGTTTGCGCGAGTGTGTGGCCAACCACTCTCGCTAATATCCTTTGACTCGTGCCCAAAAAACCGACAAAACAGGGAGCGATGGGCATGACGTGAGGCATGACCAGTATTTTGGCCACACTACTCTCTCTCTACACTGGTCTCTGCCTCCTTCCCTCGCTACTTCTTATGC